TGTAGATAAAAGCAAACTTTATGATAATGTTTTGACCGCCTTGAATATTGAATACCTTTCTTGTTGACATTTTACATCTTTTTACCCTATTGTATCTTTGCTGATTCTTGATAGACATATTATTTAAGACAAAGACCACATAGAAATAATGGCTGTGCGTACCGACTAAACATTTTAATCTATGCTAGCTATATCTGCACGCTCTCATAGTGTATTTAGTATTTAAGTACTGGCCAAAGGTAATAACACGCAAAGAAATATGTGATTAAATACTCAGAAAGATAACAGGGACGCCAATTTGTAATTCTATCTTAAATTTCTTGAAGATACAGAACCAAGGAAAAGGAAAAAGAAAGGCAAAACTTGGAGGAAAATGTTCCGAAAAAGGAATGACGCCAAAAGGAGCAAGTCTAAGAAATCCGAGAAAAGAAAGGAAGAACTGGATGAAGAAGGTAATCTCTTATCTTATTTATTGCAACTTATATGAATAAGCTGTAAAAAAATGCATCTTTTGGTTTTTTTCTCAAATATGTCATACATTTAATATATTAATGTTCTTAGTATTGTCCTGTGCCTGCGCTTAATGCTTATTATTTTAATACCATGCTTTTCTTTTGCTTTAGTCGCATCAGATGGAGAGTCCAAAGGCTCACCAGATACAAATCAGAAACAGACCAAGATCTCTAAGAAAGTGAAGAAGACATCGAAGAAGGCATCCAAGAGGTCATCTAAGAAATATTCCTGGAAATCCAAGAAATCCATGACTGAAAAGAAGGAATCCTCAAAACTAGACGATGGAGGTAAGGCGGGGTGGTGTTGGTTGTTGTTGTTGGCGGTGGGGGTGGGGTGGGGTGGGGGGTGTTAAATAACCTTGTCTTGATTTTTTATCGCGATATATTTATATGTTCACTTAAACATAAAATTTTAGTTGCACAGTTTTGAAAATTGTTGGGATTTATTGTTTACGCAAATTAAACTGCCATTTAGGATTCATTACCACTTTCATGTCGATGAGTTTGTGAAGTATTTATTTCATTCTCTTAAATTAATGCAGCCGATGGCACAAGTTCTACAACAAAAAAGAAAAAGAAATCAAAATCATGGAAAAAGATGTTCAAGCGCACCAAAAAGATAAAGAAAGGGGCCCTGAAAGATGACCAAACGGACTTTGAAGGTATGTTCTGACATGCTGGTATAGTATAATGTACATAATTTGTATGTTCTCGTGTAACCGCATGTTTTTTTTATTTTCTATGGCGCTCTCAGATTATATTCCTGCTAAAATAAATTTTCAATTATTTCTGCAGATGCTACAATAGTTGAGGTTTTTGAGGGACAAGAAGACGAAAGCAATGCCTCACATGAGGATTTCCTTGTTCTGGACATTGAGGAAAGCGGAAGCGATGATGATCAAGATGAACCACAAGGTAATCCAAACTACCTGTATATTTGGGCTATTCCTGGTGCCATCTAGAAGAAAAATGTAAATCCAAGGCCTGTCCTTCGTCTCCGAAATAAATGGATGGTCTTGGCGGTTGTTTGAATATTATTTTTATTTATTTTAGTGTGGCCTTGTGTGTCTCAGGAACTGGAAGATCAGATAAGACATGTCGACAGCGGCATTCAAAAACCTTGCAGCTTCAAGGTGAAACTTCCCAAGTTCCCCCGTATATTTTACGCCCCTTGGATAGTGTTCCGTAGAAATCTTAGAGGCATCACAAGTCTTGGTCTCCCGGCTGCTGGAAACAGTGGCCACATCGCCGAAGAGTGGCACGGAGATGTCGCCAAATCTATCGTTGTCAAGTTTTTCCGTTCGGTGTATTCCTTCGATACCATCGCTAATTGGCTGCGATTTGCCCAAGTTCTTGGAGACGCTGGTGTTGCCCCAAAATTTGAAGGACTGTTTGACGTCCATGATCTGAAAGACTTTCCGGCTAAATTTAAACGTACAACATGTTGTATTCAGCGACGCTGGGAAGATCCATATAAGCAGTACCATACGGTCGGCATGGTCACTGAATTCATCAAAGTTGGAGGTGAAGATATAAGGTTCGCTGATACTGTCTGTTTCTCAGACTACCTCAGAAATTACATGGATCGAATCAATAGGGAGCCATACAAATACATGTACAAATTCCAGTACAAGCCACTCAACAAAACGGAGAAATATCACTTCATGCGTCTCATCACACGCATTGCAGAAAAGCTGGCCAAAATGCACCAGATGGGTTTTGTACACAACTACCTGAATGGACGTCACATTTGTTTGCAGTCCATTAGTGACGATCAGGAAATGATGGAGCCTTATATCTGCAACTTTAGTCGCACCAGAAAGATAGACAGCGTCAATCCGTACACCATTCACCGCCAGCGAGACCCACTATCCCAAGCCGCCTACAAGGGACTTTTAGGGGGCTTTGCTCCAGAGGTACGCCAAGGAGTCGATTCCACCCAGGCTAGCGACGTCTACAGCTTCGGGTGCACGATAAGCCCCCTGAAAGTAGTCCTCGGCATTGAAGCTCTAGTCAATACCTGCCTTAGAGAAGACCCCCGCGGGCGTCCAAAAATGCCTCTCTTGGCACAGGTGCTCAGAAACAAAACCGCCATTATGGAGAAAAATCTCGGTTTCCCATTTACTGCTGATATTGATGCTCGTCGTTCAAAGGTTTCCGTAAGTACTACACCTGATGTCCACAGGTACTCCTCGAGACTTACCCGGCGACAGGAGGGGTTTCTGGACGGTCTCCAATCCCGCGGCGCTATTGCAATTGGGAACATAAAGTAGAAACAATACTGAGACCTGAACAGAACATTGCACCATTTTGATTATTGTTTGTTTTAGATATTTTGAGATGCATAAACTCTGGAATATGTTTACTGATGTATTTTGAAACTAAGATCAACTCACAATATCTATACATTGTTTACATGCTTTTTGCTTACATTAAAGCGGGACACTTATTTACCATCATCTTTATTTGACGGCGCTTATAAATTACCAGTGTCTCTTTTGATAAACAGTTGCATTACTCCCATTTATTCAAAACATGTTGCATTTTTTATCTTGAAACATGGCGTTGACCGATAGATGTGCAATTATTGTAAATAATTATTCTTGTAAATAACTACTTTGTAAATTGGTTCTTGGAATGCACTGTGAAATTGACGTTTTATTTTAGTCTTTTTCTATAAATATAAAAGTCAAAGGCGTCTTAATCTTCACAACCCTCTTAAATTCACATTATACCCACACCGCTGTGAAAATGCAAACGTTTTTAAAAGTTGTTACTGGCACTTCTGTGATACATGTATGTCTGTGAACAGATGAAATTAAAGAATCTCTCGAACCATGTTATCTAAGAACTTCATTTTTTGTTCAGAATCTGAATCATTTTAAGAATAAAGGGATAAAAGAAATATGTAGGAAATAGTAAAATTAACTAACCACGGAATTGGTGAATTAATCCACAGCGCAAGTAGCGTTTTTGATTTGAGCCTTAACAACTAACTTCAACCAAGTAAATGCCAGCATTAATTTTCAGCTAAAAGCTTGTAGCTGAAACAGTAATAAACAAAGCAAATACATGTATGCCCATGACATCATTCTTTCATTTATTGTTTTTTAAACAACATAAGTAATTTACATAAAACAATTTTGCCTTGGAAAACTACATTTTTTTCTTAGAAGATTTCAGAATCTATACTATTTACATGCATGTTTAATTAAAAAGGAGAAAGTGGTTCTTTTACTTTGTTCTTTTTGTTAGGTTTCAAAAGGAGGAAAGCTAAATATGCTGGAAATTAAAGGATCATTTTAAAAAACACTGACTAAGAATCACAAGAAGACCACATTCTTCAATATTGAAAAAATAGAGTTTTGGAATACAACTCAAAGTTAAATTAACTTGAAATACAGACCCCAGGTCACAGATCATAAGTATTGCACATAAAGAGTATATACGAAATTCTAAGGCTGATAAAGACAGACAAAAAAACACATAATTTTGTACAAGAAATACCAAGGAAACCTTTAACTGATCAAGTGAGAGATCAGGCAACATATCCGATTACAATAACATGCTTACTTTGGGGACTAATGAAAGCAATGAGTAAATACTTAAAATAGCTTTTTTTCTAGACAATGTATAGATATTACAAAAAACATTTTTTGCACAAACCACTTATTTATAACACTTAAACCCCACACATATGTATTGCATAAAGAGGAAGCATGTTTTTTGAGTAAGTTTTTCTTTGCATGATTTTGTCAAATAATTCGGACTACCTTCCTATTTTCAATAACAATAATAATAATAATAATAATGTTTTGGAAGATCCTATTTTTTTGTGACTGCTAAACCTAACAGGCGATCAATTTTCTGCTATTACTCAATAATGCATTATTAAATTTAATTAAAGCAAATGTTATATAATATGGAAGACAATAACATACTAAAAGATCCCTTTAATAAATTAATTACAGTACCATTACCTTTTCCAAAATCATTTTATAAAATATCATAAAAAAGTGTTCAATGCCCAATGTTGTTATAGAATAATTTAGTTACTGTTAGCATCTCTTTCACATTACTGTCATCTAAATGATTACATACATTCATAGCAAATGTCATATGTATTAACAAGAATGCTTTACCATGTAAAGCATTGATAATTCAATATTTCTTAATGTTCTTCAAAGTCTAAAAGATCATTCCTGTCTAATAACAGGTGAACATATATGATATGTAGCAGTCACTGTTTTTCTTATCTTGCAGAATAAACAGAATCCATTGTAAAGGTTGTGATGTACTTTAAAATATGGCATGGTTAATAAATACAGAATGGAAAACAAATAATAGAGCCAATATTTCATTTATGCAGATCTGGTCAAAAGAAAGAAAGAAAAAAAAAAAAAAAAAAGTCAGTTCCCTAGCTTAGCTGACTAGGATTTCCATGAGAGTGCTGTTATACTGCTCCTGATAGGGTAAGATGTGCCCATGTGACCATGTAACCTTGGTAATTAAGTTCTAAGCCAGGGATCTTGACTTAAGTTTTTTATTTGTGAAACTGGGGCCTGATTGACTTGGGTCAGAGTATGTTAAAACTTCCAGCTTAAAGTTTTGACCAAAGTTTGGTCCTCATTCTATTGTGAAACAATTCCCTGGTCTCACAACCTTAACTGCCAAACCTGTATAAAGCTTAGGATTTATCATACAACTGAAAGATCTTTCTGAACCATTTATTGTTCCTGAGTCAGTCACCATATGGAGTTATTGTGGTCCCCATAACAACATATGAATAGAGATTAGTGATATTTAGTGTTTGATTAGTAATTGATATGAGATCAGCAGAACTCTGTTTCAGCTGAATGGTAAGGAAAGTGACACATGGAACTGTTACTGTTTTTAAAGTAGATAATATGAGCATGGTTGCATAATTGTTGAAGTCTCAAATGACTTAGATCTATTGCCCATCATATCAAGTTACTAGTATTAGAATAACAGATGATACAAGGGAATTAATAGTTTAAAATGTGCAACATTCACAAAAATGTGACACCTTGTATAAGACCTGTATTTTGTACTATTGCTATATAATGCCAAATGGGCACTAGAAAAAATTAGCTAAAAAATGGAAGACAAGGATTTCCAATGAAAAAATTACGTGAGTTTGTGATCAAGGTAAAACAATAGAACTGCGTCATCTAGGGGATAATTCCACATCCACATTATCATGTCCTTGTAATAAAGAGGTATAGAGCAGTCAATTCAAAAATATGATTCAATTATAGAATCACATTTTGTACCATCAAAAATATATTGTAGATATTCTTTTGTAAAAAAAGGGGGAAAAATATAAATTTGGATGCAGTGATTCAGACTTATAAAAAAAAATTCTCATGTCAAATTTGAGACAAATTACATATTATCATTAAAAAAAAAAACACCTTGTCAATAACAAAAGTAGAATCTTGTTTTCACATCTGAGCTTTTGTTGTTCCATTAAAATGGATAATTGTGACCCCCATTATCACACACACACACACACACACACACACACACACACACACACACAGTAAGTATTTACATATCTATATATATAAATATTAATATTAAGTACCTGTTTCAAGGAAGACAAGAACCACATGTAACAACACACACACAGGAAGTTTTTATATATCTATATATAAATATTAATATTAAGTACCGGTACTTGTTCCAAGGAAGACAAGAACCACAATCAACAACACAAACACAGTAAGTCTTTATATAACTACATATAAATATTAATTACTTGTTCCAAAGAAGACAAAAACTGGTGGAAGTTAAGGAACCATAATCTCAATCACAACGTGGTTCTTTACTGTGATCTCATTTGGATGAAGACAAAATACATCTGTGTGCCCTTGCCCAGCTAGGTTTCTGCTTGTTCAGGTGACGGTATGACAATACTTGGAAGCTCTGCTTGGACAACTTTTTCTAAAATTTTTAACCACCTGAAAAAATGGTAAAGTGAAATGTTTGAACAATAAGGCAATCAATTGTTAAAATCATAGAAAAATGTTGAGGATTTCAAAACCACTTTCTTTTTAATCTTGCATAAAGATCAATCTCATCTATACTAGGAGTGTTTTCAAAACATACACACTTGACATTTAATATGGAATATTTCAGTTTCGAATGTACGCCTAGGTGAAAATGCGTTTTTTTTTCACAAACTCCGATCTCATATAAGATATGTGAATGGAGAAGTGTGTAGTCAGGTGTGTCGCTACCAATTAAGTGATTACCAGGTTTGTTGCGCTGCTGCATTATGTAATATGCAGTGATTAAATTGGGTAGTGCTCCTTTGGGCAGGTCAAAGCTAGGCTTTGGCAAAGCATGGTTCTGTCAAAAAAGTATCCATATGTCGGCAACTACTGCATAGAAAAATTTGAAATTTTGCATGCAAGTCGTCGGATTTGCAGTGTGTAAAATGAGCTATGCAGTGCTTTACAAATTTGTTAAGCTGTGGCAGAATGGCGCGAAAAAGACAGGCATTGCCAGGCAGGCAATTGCGCCAAACAAAACGGTCCGCACTGTTTTACAGAGTAATGCCCAGACTGATGTACCTACACAGAGGCCACACCCAATGTATTGAAATCTTACCCCCAGGGTACAGGACCCACTGTCTTTCGGGATATGCTGTTGCAACTAAACAAAAACCACCAAGTCCGTTCAGAATGAGGGGTAAATTACCACCAAAACGCATTTTTCAAGGCCCTTAGCGAACACCAAACTGGTTTTAGCAGGTTAGAATACCATACGACCTCCGAGGAACCCACTGTAAACAGCAAAACACCGTTGTATGTTTCTCTATTGAATTGAGGACCTTGGCTGTTTCTGGGTTGAACACTGAAATCTCGCGGCTTTCTTTATTGAGGTCAGATTTCACCTGTACCGCTCAACAGTCAAAACAGAGTTTACAGACATCCAGAAGAGGCCAACAACGAAGCGCGTGCCGCGTCTAGAGTGACTAAGGTCATTAACAGCGTCAGTATTTGGAGTGGATACCACATTGGTGCCAAAACACCAATGGTAGTCATTGACGAAAACATGAACCAGATCAATTAAAGAAATAATCTGGGAACCACTTGGCTATCATTTGATAGGGGACAACTTAGGAACAATTTTAGGTTGCATGGTGAGATTGCCGGTTCACACAGAGCACTTTTAATAGCAGTTTACTTACAGAACCAAGGGAATGAGCAGCTACCTTGGTCATCAAAATCGCCATATTTGAACCAAAGAGACAATATGTTGGTAGGCCATTACTCTCCGAATCAATGGCCTACATATCCTACAACAATATTGGACCAAATTGGGCAGATTTTGACCGAAGCATGGAATGTTATTCCAGATTAAACTTTAAAAACCTATCCCAAGGAACACCTTGCCACTTGAGAGCGCTGGTAGCAGCCAGAAGAAGTCAGGCGTAACAGCGACCGTTACTGTGACTAGAAACTGACATGAGGGTCTTTTGTGGAGCGTTTAACTATTTTACAGACAATAATTTGGAAAATATGGAGGTCCAAAATATCCCTTTTAATGGTTGTTGTATGACATAGAATAGGCAACGTGTTTTTGTTTGCTTTTCTGGCGAATTCCATTGATGAACTGATGTCACAATGACATCAAAGAGATAATTAAAAGTTATTAAAACACGATTTTAATCCTTATTTTCATTTATCAGTCTGCAAAATAGGAAAAAACTGATGAAAAATGATTTGGAAAAAAATATTCCATATTAAATGTCAAGTCTGTATAAACAATTTTACAGATAAGAAGTTGTGAATTTTAGTTTTTTAGTTAAATCANTGTTTGCTTTTCTGGCGAATTCCATTGATGAACTGATGTCACAATGACATCAAAGAGATAATTAAAAGTTATTAAAACACGATTTTAATCCTTATTTTCATTTATCAGTCTGCAAAATAGGAAAAAACTGATGAAAAATGATTTGGAAAAAAATATTCCATATTAAATGTCAAGTCTGTATAAACAATTTTACAGATAAGAAGTTGTGAATTTTAGTTTTTTAGTTAAATCACCAGACTCACTTTTTACATTCTCCTGCATCAGCTGCCCTAAAGAAGTACTGCTTGTGATGATGCTGAAGCTTGAACACATTATTCTTTTCTCCTGTCACGGGGTCGGTCTCTGTGGCAGGACCGACTACATAGCCAGGGAGAGGCATGGAGGTCATGGCAAACAGGTCCTGGGGAATGATAAATTAATAATAAATGTTGTTTTAACTTATTTAACTATTTAGACCTGTACTTTCAATTGTGAGGATTTGCTTTCTCTCTCTCTCTCTCTCTCTTTCTAACATTTGACACACAAAGAATACTACCCAAATTTAGCACTTTTAATATTCAACATAATTAAATGAGAACCTTACTCCCATGATTGAAATGACTTTGAATCATTACATTATTACAAAGGGCAACAAGATGAAAATTACTTAATGTTCAACAAAAATAACTGTATTGTGGGGAAAATTTTAGAATGAATGACTGAATAAAACCAGCTATGTATATTTGTCATACCTGATGAGCTTTATAACAATACATAACATAGTCTTGGTGCACAGCAAAATACTTTCTCTCCCAGGTCTTGCCAAGGTCACTGCTGAGCTGTAGGTATCCTCCAATAACTAGGTTTTCACTGGCCCTCACCTTGAAATCAAATGAGAAAAGTCTATTAAGATAAAATATACCACAGCAGATAAACAAGATAATGCACTGGGTTTTTGTGTCACATTTTATAATGATAAAAAAATGACTGTCTGACATATATTAATGTTTCAGGTGTAACATCAATTAGTCAAATGCAAAAAAAGTTGGATGTGACTGTAGTCATTCTTTTATAACAACAAAGAGAGGCTTTGAAAAGTTTTATATACAATATCCTTTTTTATGTGTTTTATTGATAGGTAATAATTTTACAGAACTTTTATGAAATTTTAAATGAAGTATCACAGGTTTTAGTCTCTCATAACACTTGGTAGGGTGGGTTTTATCTTTTAAACCCGAGACGTTAATAAAATTATTATCATTATTATATTCATGTAATAAGTGTGATAGCAATCCGTCATCAACAAAATAATGTGCAAAGTGTGACAGCAGTCAGACATACAAATGTGTTAGATGTGACAACTCACCTCCAAATGTGCAGGTCTCTTGAGGGCACCATCTTCTGATCCAACAGCTGGCCCTGATGGCAGAATCTTCTTGAAGCAGTCGCCACAAACACGGTGAAACTTCTCATCAAACTGCAGCTTGGCTTTATAACTGGAGCATTTGCCACAAACAACCTGGGGTATGAGGGAAAGATCACATCATTTAAATGAGTGTACACTGAACAGCTCAAATGAAACAAAATATCACAATTGGAAAACTAAAAAAGGTCACTTTCAAATCAGAAAATACTAATTAAAAATTAAATCCAGCCTTCAACTGAGCTAAGTGATCTAATGAAAAATTTTATGACATAAGATTAAATCAATATTTTGAAAGGGTTCATAGCTATGTAAACTCAATAAACATGCATGATAATTAATATTGATATACATAAGCTTTACTCCAAATGGCAACCTCTTCGTCAAAAATAACCATTATCTTGTACTACTTGTAGTAATATTTAGCCAGTTTTATCATAATATTATTATAGGTATAATAGGTAGTTTTCAGGGGGTGTGGATTATGACTATGAAACTTTGATCAAAAGTATATATTCAGGATAAAATATTTTCATAAAAAAATATCAAAGACTATCAGCTTAGATGGAAAACTGTCAGCTTGGATGGTTACTTTCTCTACTGACTCTCCATCAGCAAATAACACAACCCTTACATAACCACAAGCTCGGCAGTGATGTCTTCTTCTGATCGTTGTGAACTGCGCACCACATCGCATACACATCGTTGTCTCGTCGTCTTTCACCCAACGAGGTGCTCTCATTCCGAGCTCTTGGTCATTTACAGTGTCAAGCTAAAATATAATTATACACATAAATTTTGACTTAAATCTGTAATTGAGCTTTGGTGTGTTAAATATCTGGAAAATGTTTCTTTCTTTCAATTTTTATATTACATTGGAAGTGAGGAGTAAATTTTCTAGCATGCACAACACAAGGCATTGGTGAGACAGCCAGCATAAAAAATGAAAAAAATTATAATTCAGACATAATTATGATGAACAAAAATAGTAAAATGCATGCTTACCAAATTCTCTTGGCTGACAGTTGGTTTAAGAGACTTCTTTTTCTTGGTGTAATCATTCACAGTCCTGGCCATTGTCTGAGATAAAGTATGCATATATATATCATAATCTCGTAGAGATTTAAAAGACTTAACTTCTTTATTTTAACATATTACTAAAATCTTTGAAAAAGTCACCTAAGACTAATCACAAATCACTTAGTAATACTACAGTATATGCACCTTCTCTTGTTGGTCATATCAGAGGCACTATTTCAACAATTTTTATGCCTGGTCTTCAATTTGCAACATGAAGTCATAAACTGTATTTGTGCACTACGTGGCTTGAGTGGTTTTCATAACTACTATTAAAAGTGAGCATTGTTATAGTGCTGAAACATCTGTACTTACTGCTTGCCAATCAACCTTTTCCTCATATGAGCTACATTAAAGCCAAGAAAAAAAAAAACATCACAGCAAGTGTATTAGTCACAGCCAAAATCAACAAAACTTCTCTCCATATTCTAATTGTCAAAAGCACTGCAGTCACTTTTATTTAAGTTATTTTCATAAATGAAAGAGACATGCTTTTCATTTCTATTATACATTATTACATAAGTGCTAAAAGCAGCACCAAACGCTTGTTGTCAAAATTTTAATGAAACTGAAATCAGTTTTTAAGTATTAATGTTTCTGATTCTGCAAATACTTCAAAGAAAGAGATTTTTTATTTTAATTTTGTAATAACACCATACAGCACATGTGCCACATACATGCAAAGGTGCTAAAAGTTGCCCAATTATTAATATTATTACAATTATAATCATTATTGGATTGAAGGAAAAAGCAGTAAAACCAGGAATGAGAACAAAAGTTTGGTAAGTATAGCAACTTAAAAATCAAATGAATCAAGTAACCTTACTTCACGAGGAAATTTCAAATAAACAAATCTCAGAAAAAAACTTACCCAAGGAAGAGTTCCAAAGTTTTTTGTTTACTCTTGATGTAAAACGTATTAGACTTGGCCAAGTTGTCTCCCTCAAATATCTTTAAAAAAAGAAACATTTCTGACTTATATTCAAGTAAGGACATATTAACAACTGAAAGTAATTAAAGGAAAAATTCTTAAATTTGAAATAGTTAACCTGCCTGCAATGTACTTGCATATAACAATTTTGGTATGCATGACTGACTTATAGTGGTAAATAAAAACAAAAAGTGAACACAAAGTAAATCTTGTGTCCAAATTTTTTAATGAAAATTGTCTGAGAGAGAGAGAGAGAGAGAGAGAGAGAGAGAGAGAGACCTGCATGTCATTAATGGAGAGAGAGAGAGAGAGAGAGAGAAAGAAAGGGAGAGAGAGAGAGGGAGAGAGAGAAGGGAGCCTGCATGCCATTAACAGGGAGAGAGAGAGAAAGAGAGAGAGAGAGAGAGAGGCAATGAGTGGAAAAAAGAGAGAGAGAGAGACCAACCTGCATGCCATCAATGTCTAACTTGGCCTTCAGTCTGTAGTTAGGCCCCAGTCCTGGAACAGCCAGCAGCTGCTCATAGCACACCAACAGAAGGTCATTAAACTGAAAGGACATTGACACATAATGATGGGAGATCTATATTGAATAATTGCTCTATAGCATAAAAATTAGATCTACTTGATCTCTGCTTTAATGTCTCCTAAATTATTGCTCTATTTTATCTTCTATATATTCATTCTTTTATATATGTTCATATAAATTTATGATTAACATACACAAATTGAGGTCTGATTAATAATCCCTACCCATACTTTCCACTGTACATTAAATAAACAATAAAAATTAATTGCAGAATTACAAATAAGCCCAAAAATAACGTAATTTGCTTAAACAGATAACATGTTTTGGGGTCTAAAAATGATTGAATAAATAAAAAAAAATTAAGGGCAATTCAGCATGCCTGATGAAACTGACCACTCACCAAAAAGAGATATCTGCTCATTTCTTGACCATTCCTGGCAGATATTTTACCAACTGGACCTTCCTTGATTAGCTCTCTGGTTGGGTTTATCAAAGACACTGTATTCCCCAGACTCTGTTCAATCTCCTGTAGTTTTTTAAACTGATCCTGGAAGAAAGTTTAATAACTAGAGTTGCCTTCTCTTCATGTTATTGAGTGCACTACCCTTTTTGTAATTAAGAAAAATTTACCCAGAAACAATTGGGGTAAAATTCCATTATACAGTGTCATAAAAATTCAAGTAAAAAAGTAATGTGCACTGCTGAATACACCCTATGTTCAACAGAAAGTGAGAAAATACAAAGGGGCTGAAAAAATATGTCAAAAGAATATCAAATGGTATTCCTTTGCCATTATCCAAAACTGATCCAAACTGACTTCTTACCACAGCCAGTATATATATGGGTTAATATGTACGTGGACTTCTTATAATTTTTTTATTTAAATCATACAAAACTTACAATTTTCTTCATGGCTTCATTGGAATGTGATGCTGCAGTGGCCACTAAATTCAAAGCCTCTGAAAAAGTAAACCCCAATATGAATCAATAAGTTTTACTTATCCCTTTAAATTAATGAAATACTCTTTTTAAATAAGTACTAGTCTAGAGATCTAAAATTCAGCCTTTAAACATGATAAATGATACAGTCCCAAGATGATAAAGTCCCAGGGTATTAAGATATTAAACATGGCATTGTATGTACTTTTCAATTTTCCATTGAAAGTAAAAACTGATGGGTATGTTGAACTTACTTTCAGAATCTTCCCTGTCTACAGAACCTTCTGGCAACTTCTTGATGTAGTCTGAAACGAGCACAATTTAAGAATGAGACATTCTTCTAGTTTAGGAGTACAACAGTGTAACTGTATCACTAATACTAAAAACATCATTACACAACAGTGACAAATCAATTTTTTATGCTTAACAAGAACATCTTCTGAAAAACCCTATCAAGTGTTTGATCTCATTACTTAAATCAGCACTTATATTCACTGAATGTCTAAGGAAAAACTGAACAAAACTGTGTATTTGACTTTCTGAATTAATAATGAACTAGTGGATACATACCTTTGAGTAAAAGTTCATATCTTGGTACTCTTTGTATGGGCTCCAGCATGTGGTGTTGTAATGTTAGGAGACCGCACTCTGGAGTTTTCTATTTAAAATTTGTTAAATTTATCATAAATTCTCAAATAGTATCAAAATCATTTATATTGTATGATATGAATGAGGCTGAAGAATTACGATCCAAACTCTTTGCTTTCAAACATTCAATTAAAACATAATAAACAATATTGCAGATTTTTTAAAAACTTAAAATTTGACATTTCTATAAAAATCAATAAATTAAAATTAAAGAATCAAGAAAGACCTCACACCGCTCAGGGTCCAAAACCGACCTGAATCTCATCAATAATTTCTGCAAACTTGGGACTTCTCTCCCTCCAGAAATTGATGGTCTGCATAGCATTGTCAAAGTTCTTCACATAATCTGAATAAAGTTTGAGAAATGGTGCCAGGCCCTTCAGTAAGTCACCAAGCTTTTGGATTTCACCCCTGAAAAAGAACAGCTTCATTGAATGCAGCAACAGAGCACTTCAGGAAGAAAGAAGAATTAATTGCTATCCCTGGTAAAGGGGGGGGGGGAGGCAAAATGTTATTAATTCAAGTAAAATAACCCTGGTATGTAGTTACATGTATGCCGGTGTAACATGAAAATATGACTCCCATGAAAATGTGACTCCCCAGTCAGATTTTCATTATGAAAATGTGACTCCCCAGTCAGATTTTCATAATGAAAATCTGACTGGGGAGTCACATTTTAGGGGAGTCAGATTTTCATGGTACACCGGTCCTTTACACAAAAGGTATACTGAAAGCATAATTATTTATTTAGAAAACTAATATGCTTAATAATAATAATAATAATAATAAATATGTTTAAATTTGCATTTCATGAGTCTTGAATAAGAATACAATGCCATAATAAATACTATATTTTAAATTACATCAAATTTTTTAATAAATAAAACTGTTTCTATGGTTTTCTTTTTTTCAACACTTTCTGAAAATAAAAATCTCTGAAACTGACTGTGACTGAGCACTTACCATTTTGACATTCTTTCCTCTAACTGTGGAAGCATGAAGTCAGCATGGAACTGGTATAAACTTTGAATATTGGAGAACATTTTACCAAGAACGTCATCTGGAAACATCTGATGCTTGTGATTCTCTGTGAGCACTCGGAAATGGAAGACCTGGAAAAGAAATATCTTAAATCTTACTCAAGCTAGCTGGCACAATTTTCATTACTAGTACTAATTTTAATTAGTAATTAAAATTAAAGTAATGGGCAACGATCAAAATCTCACCTATATTTTTGACACACTCTAAAATCTTCCTTAAAATCTTTCCAAAGGAAAAAAAACCCTCATAAGTGGAAATAATAATGTTAGTCCTTTACATCTCATTTTACATAACAAAAACAAGATTTGGTTGAGGCTGTGAACATATGAAAAATTTACCTGATAATTCATACAATTTTTAATGTGTGTGTGTGTGTGTGTATGTGTGTGTGTGTGTGTTGCCTCAGGATATATGTCTATTTGATTCTTTCATTTATTTCATCATAAGGTGTATGCTTTGCATAATGAAATATTTTTATTAAACTTCATTGCATTTGAATATATGAGAAATGAAAAGCTTTCGATTTTGATAAGCACACAGGTGTACATGTATAAACTCATGTGGCATAACACACACACATGCATATGCACACACACGAACACACACACACACACACACACACACACACGCATCTAACAGTTTCATGTACCTGATGCACCAGCCTTAATCTCTGCACATAGGCTCTCTCTGTGGTAAGCAATTCCATAGCTATCTTATACAACTTCTTCTCTGGAGTGTCTACTGTGGCTTCCTGGAACACAATATATAATGTTTGTTTATGGGACTTCCTCTTTTTAAAAGGCAAACTGGTCTTTTACACATCTGCTTTTGTTAGGAGAATTTAAAAAAAATCCACTAAATGAAGCATTGCATGTTGTTACTTGCTTGATTTTTAAAGAATCCTCAGTATTTCACTCCATAGTACTTTTTTCATGTTAAGCTTAAAATTTTTAACAGTTTATCATTTTGTTTCATTTAAAGAATGCTATTTTCAGTTTTTATGTCAGGAACAGAGAACACTTACAACTTCCTCTTCAACATCGGGGACGATGAGTTCCTCATTTATTCCCTCATCCTCATCATCATCACTAAAACTACTATCATCCCACCAGTCGTCAAACTCATCGTATAATGACCGGCCAGTAGACAGCTCTCCCGATGACTCCACTTTTTTCAAATGTTCCTCAACTTCCTCGGAATCTTCAGATGTATTTCTATTATTCCCTTCCACATTTTTAGATTCCTCTGAATAATTAGATTTATTATAACATCCAGGCTGAACTGGAGACACTTTGTCATCGGTAGCATGATCACTGTGTCCATTTTCAATTACGACATTGTCATAAGGGTGGTCACTGTACGTAGAAACACGGTCCGAACTGTGGCCGTTTTGACTAACATATGCACTTGAGTCACTAGGGGATTCTGGACTTTCTTTTTCATTAGATGCCGCTGTGTGGCTAGCCTCGCTAGAACCGCTATGTTTTCGCCCTCTGCGCTTCACTGAGCGCCCTCTATTTATAGTCCTAGTTCGAGGCAAGTATGGAAAAGCTGGCACAGCATAAGTGGTCCCAGTTCCAGGACTTTTGTCTTTCTCATTATGTTGCACTTTCTTATCAGGTTCTTTATTCTTTGCGTCGTCCTTGCCTTTTCCAGACATCAAATTTTTCAGGAAATTTGGTTTCTTGGGTACTAAAATAAGAATGTTCAGAAAGTACATAGTTTAACTTCACATAACACAACATACCTTCTCTCATTTTAGGGAACAAGAACAAAGACAAAAAATTGCTTGAGAGCAAAATCATTTCATTTCTGAATTCTGTAATAGTTTTCCCATTTTCATGCAATAAAACATTTGATTTTAAAAGTTTTTTATGATGAAAAAGTTTATCTTCCAATTTGAGGTACCTAGGAGATATTCCAGTTGTCAAATTGCAAATATCAATACATACTCTGTGTAATGTTAAATATATTAAACTTTCTGAAGATTTTATGCTGTAGTTACTGAAATCATAAACCCAAAGTTTTTTCAATGAGAATGTACACTGCCAAGTAGATCCATTTCAGTCATTTTCTTTACAAATAATCTATGAAATTTATAAGAATTAAAAAAGAAAAATCAGAAATTCTAGTTCTACTTTTCAACACTTTCTATTCAGTCAGTACCTTCTGGTTTTGGTAAGCCATATTTAGCAGCAGAGGGGAGCGACCTGGAGCGTCGTCTGCTCTCTTCTTCCTCAACCTTCATCCTGCCTTTCCTTTTGACCACCACTGCATACATGTCGTCTGCTGCATTTTTCTTTTTCTGTGAATTGTCTCCTTCCTTGTCCAGGTAAGCAGCACTCTTTTCTGACATGACATAAGAAACTGTTGGTTTTAGGAATAAATTTGGGAAGCCATTGACAGAATATTCCAGGAAATTCACAAATTTTGAACACGAAGACATTAAACTATAAATCATCCAAAAAAGTGGAATATTAAAAAAAATATCATAAAACATTTACAATTTGCAGGCTCTAATTTATTCACCCCTAGATAAATAATATACATGTAAATATGAAAACTGCATGCATGGGCCATACCTATAACCAGCTGAATAAACTTAAAACACAAACACATCAAAATCACAACCAAGCTTAATATGAAATGTCAGTGAATCTTGACCTTGTAACCACACAAGAAGCAAAAATAGATATATAAATGACAATTAAATATGTGCTCTCCCCTATCAGTAAACTTTATTTATCAACCAGGTTAATTTTTATCCAGCCATATCTGTTAGTTCATGTCTATTTACTTCTAGACCAACATTCAAAGTTCAAAAAACCTTCTTAAAACACACCTTACAGAATGACGGGCACTTTACTATGTAAAGATATATGTACACATAAAAAAAGAACAACCTTGAATACAATGCATAAGACAAATCTTTGCTGGTCATTGTCCTTCTTCTTTCTCACAATTTGCTTTAAGGTAGGTTTTCTCTTCATGATTTCAATGAAAAAGCACTACGCCATATGCATGTGCTTTCTCTGTGTGTATTCAACTTCAAAAAAAAAAATAAATAAATAAAAAATAAGTGCTAGCCTCTCTACATGAGACATAAGACTGATGCATTATATTCAAGGTAACTCCCACACTGCTTAAAACACACAATAAGCTTTGCAAGCTGAAAAACATTTATGTACTAGTAAGTCACGCCGACAGCTTCAGTACATAATCACAGTATATAAAAACTGAATAATAACCAAGTCTAATGGGTTTTGAAAAGAATATCCTACTTCCAATCTTAAGAAAGGTTGTTCTATGGGCAATGCATCTTCCTGATATTGGGTTTCAAAGCCATGAAATATTACATACTACTTGTTGCTTTTACAGTAAGAAAATTGTGTTTGGTTCTGCCTTAATCTAGCAAAATGTTTTAAGTTTCCAATCAAGAGAGCAATTTTTCTAAATAACTGTTTATTAGGATCAGTACAAGTACACTTCACACTTGATTACAGCTGAAAAACAAATCATGTAGGTCTTGTCCACACAAACACACACACACACACACACACACACACACACACACATGAGAATACACCAGTCTTCCAATTCATCCCTATAAACNTTAAGTTTCCAATCAAGAGAGCAATTTTTCTAAATAACTGTTTATTAGGATCAGTACAAGTACACTTCACACTTGATTACAGCTGAAAAACAAATCATGTAGGTCTTGTCCACACAAACACACACACACACACACACACACACACACACACACATGAGAATAACACCAGTCTGCCAATTCATCCCTATAAAAGTTCACCTAGCTCTTATACAGCCATAAAGTAGTAATAAAGTAGTAATAAATAAATTTCAGTCATATAATCTTGACAGCCAAGATCCACATTATACTTGCACAAATTACCTTTTATCATGCCAAAGTAGAATAATTATAAAATTTACATTATCACGCCCCCTTTTTGTACATGACACCATTGGTCTTTGTAGATCGACCCAATTCTGCGGGGATTCTCACTGAAAGCAATCAGCTTAATGCAGGGACTCTCACTGAAAGCAATCAGTTTAAATGAACAACATGCCTCCTCCTGGCATTAAGAACAATGAATAAAAGCTTGTGATTATATCAGCACACTGGAAACATAAGGAGGCGTGTCATTTAGTTAAGCTGATTGCACTTAGCGAGACGGGTCGATCTAAGTAGAACAATGGTGTCAATGGGAATGGGGTCTTATAGAGTGCATCATAAAGAACGCCCATCATGTTTGATATTTTTTGTCTCAACTGCTAAGCAGTGGCATCTGCAAGATAAGAGTCATATAAGACAAGGAGTATAAGGCATTAAAATAAACACGCCCCTAAGTTCTGTCAATAAAATTAGTTTTTAGAAGAAGCCAGCACTGCAAAATATGGCATGTACAATAAATGGCACGACATGCAATGTAAAGTATAATTCAATTTGTCCAAATAGCCCCAGTTTGATCCTAACCAAGTGGAAAAAAATGACCTTAACTGCACATTTGACCTTGCTTAAAAACTGCTTTGAAAAATTATCATTTAAGTAACACTAAGATCCCATTCCCAGAGATTAGATCAATCCAAACTAGATCGACCTAACTCCCTGGGGGTTTACGCTAACTAGCTGTCAGCCGAGCAGGCACAAAAGTTAATTACCCCCTTACAGCTTGTAGTAGGCGGGACGGACATTTAAGCCAGATTATCTGACAGTAATCTAGTGAGACTCCCCACGGGGATAGATTGATCTAAATGTCTGGGAATACGCCCTAAGTCACTGAAAACCTTCAGAATATTTACCTTTCCTAAAAGCCATCCTTAGCTTAAAGAATCAGTCCAGGACTGGAAGGTACATCTCATTTTTTCACTTCCTCGTTCTTTTAACAATGATTTTCTATGTATGTCAAGTAGGGCTTTATATCTGATTATATGCAGTGTTAAATGTTAACCCAGATGATAATTTACAAAACCACACATGAACCAACATACTAGTTCTCAACAATACAAAAGTCCTTACCACAGATGGGCTTCAGATTTCAGAGCACTAACAATAGGATATTATCATTGTTGCCATGTAGAAGTTATATATATATATATATATATATATATATAAACTGTGTGTGTGTGTGTGTGTGTGTGTGTGTGAAATGTGCAAGGCACTTGAGACAAAATTGCATGAGAAAAATTATCTCTTTTGGTTACTACATTTAACAAATATAAAACAAACTTAAGTCAAAATCCAATTCAAAATTGATTACTAGTACATTCAATCTGTTGTGCCAATTAGGAAGTACTATACTGTAAATAGTTTGAGAGCTAAAATGTTTGACAGAATGATAAAACAATAAATAATCATTATTATCATCTGATTTCTTTATCAATGTCTTCCTGCTTCAAGCACCCTCTTTCAAATACATAAAGTCTTAGATCTATATGCAAATAGAAACTCAACTTCAACTGACATTAACTTTACAAATCCATTAGTCAATAAAAACAAAATCTTCCTGCTTGTATATTGTGACAGATTTGTCTTTTAATTTAAAAAAATGCGTAGATCTATAATTTACAGTTGTCACTGCACAATACCCTGAATATAAAATATTACAGGAAACTAACCTGTGTTACCAACAGAGGTCAGTTATCTCTGATATTCAGGGTGAATGTATTCTGACCTAGGGAATTGTATCAGAATGCGTCAGTTGAGACGAAGGCTGAGCTTAATTGTGTTGGTATCAAAAAGAAAGAAAGAAAGAAAGAAAATTACTTCAACTTGATCACTTATTTTAAGAAATACCTTCGGCATGCGCTTAATTGTGTTTACATCAAATATAAATAAATAGATAAATAAACAAACAAACAAAAAAATAAGTAAAAATATTTAACCTGATCACTTACTTTAAGAAATATATTTGACATGAGCATAATTGTGTTTGTATCAAGAATAAATACATAAGTAAAAAAACTTCATGAACTCAATCACTTATTTTAAGATATACTTTTGGCATGCTGTTAATGTGATATCTGCATATGCAAATATTTTATTTGCCTATCTATACATGTATTTTTCACCTCTATGAGGTAGCTACTAAAAATCAGGATCCAAGATCCAGTACTGAGATCACTAAAATGCCCTAAAATGATGTGCCACATGCCAGCTGATTGTAATGCAACTCTCAACTTTTTAGAAGATAACATCCTTAATGTCCATGATGTAGAAAGTGTGAGAACACATTTTGCTCTACATCCATTACATAAATGGTCCTTGCATGCATTTACATAACATGAGCTCTACATGTAAATACTATGAATGAGTCTAGATCAATCCCGTAACTATGTTTAAAGTTATAAACCCTTATGCAGTCTTGTTTATTAAAGAAAGTCTGGTTCTTATATATACCACCTTCCACTATGTTTCAGTTTGGATTACAATATGCCTGCCATAGGTTTTTCATAATTTTTTTTCATGAGTCTGGTTGTAGATGCGCTTGTCTTCCAGGGGATGATACATAAAGGAAAGTCCCACTGGGATTTTATTTTACCTATGAAAACCATTTTTATTTCCCCAAGATGCGTGAAATACTCATGAAATATTATTTAGCACACATATGATCCCATACCCATGACTTGTGAATACATGTATCTTTTTATCCCTCGTCATTTGTAAAACAAAATCATTTAACTTGGTGATTTGTGATTTTCCACTGTTACTTCCTGCATTTTCAAAGAGATATAAAGAAACTTTATTTTCAATGAGATATAAAGAAACTTTTTTACTGTTATTTGTGAATTGATGATTTTATTCCCAGTGAACTGTGTTTACTCTCCCCTCTCCAAATGGACCCTCAATACTTCCTGATCTAAGTTTGGATGGAGTTCTAACCAGTAAGCTTGCTTAAATATACATGCCTGAGCTTTTCTGTTATGATTTTTTTATTCTCTTCAAGTATTTTTGTCAGAAAAGAGGGGAAAAATCAGCAAACATCTGCAGACCATGTGTGCACCGCACTGACAGAAGAAGACTTGTATATGATCTAATTGAGATTCTCAGCATGAATTATGTCCATTTAAATCCTGCCTGGTAGCTTGTTTTCCTTCCTCACAGTGGCAAGGCAACTTCAACTTTTAACTATACGCCAGGTTAGCTCATTTATCATTCTGCTTCCTCTTCTGTGAAAAAACTTCAACAAATCAATTTAGGTCAAATTTGTGGCAAGTTGAATATAAGAATAATACCTGTTTTTTCATTAATGGATAAAAAATAAAAAGTATCCGGAAAAATTGTTTGCTACATAGATTATGAATAACTTCCTCATTTTGGGGAATTTTATCACTGGTTTTTTTTCTGCATTAGAAAATACAAACACATTTCTTATTGCAGATAACCCAAAATTTCTTACCAGGTACATTAATTAGAATCAGATTAAATTTATACCACACAACTTAAATCCATGTTTCTTTCTTTCCTGTATTTATGCATAAGATAAACTTAAAGCCAAAGGGGCTGGTTTTAATGCCTCATGCTCTTATCTCAGATAGTTTCAAGGGTCCAGGACTTCATAAGAGCTGTGCTTAACCTATAGATAGGAAGCAGCCATAAAGTGAATGGGAAGCTTTGGTGAAAATGTACAGACAATAAGGTCACAAGAAAAATGTCCTTAAATTTAATACTCTGATACAGTGTACTAGTACTAGGGTTTTATCTTCTGAGTGACATAATTTCCTTGAAATTCACAATCTGTCATTCTTTCACATTCTATATTGAAAGGAAAAGCAGTATACTGTGATGAAAAAACAGGTTCAAACTATCCTTTATAGTAGGTGACCAAAAGTCATTATTGAGTAATGAAAAGATTTTTTTTTTGTTTTATTAGTTATTAAGCCGATTTCCATATCCAGATGTATCTACAGTAACCAGATTGACCATCTCCCAGGAGATTCTGGCTAAATTGAATTCAGCTTAAGCAGCTTAGATGTCTGGCACACCTACTGAAGCTGCTCAATGATATAAAATTACCCCCTAACAGCTTCAGTGGGCATACCAGACATCAGAGCCGCTTAAGCTATATGCAATTTAGCAAGAAAATTTAGCAAGAAACCCCTCAGAGATAAGTTTTATCCTGCTAGATCAATCTGAGAACAGGGTCTAAGCATTCAGTTTGAGTCCTCAAGTGTTGATACATACAGGTAGCATGCACACTGACATCACACAGG